TTTAGATCTAGTTATTACCAGGACAAACAATTTTAGATCTAGTTATTACCAGGACAAACAACTTTAGATCTAGTTATTACTAGGACAAACAACTTTAGATCTAGTTATTACCAGGACAAACAACTTTAGATCTAGTTATTACCAGGACAAACAACTTTAAATCTAGTTATTACCAGGACAACCAACTTTAGGCTGTATATTTAGTCATTACCAGGACAAACAACTTTAAATCTAGTTATTACCAGGACAACCAACTTTTGGTTGTATATCAAGTTATTACCAGGACAACCAACTTTAGGCTGTATATCTAGTTATTACCAGGACAACCAACTTTAGGCTGTACATCTAGTTATTACCAGGACAAACAACTTAGTTATTACCAGGACAAACAACGTTAAATCTAGTTATTACCAGGTCAGCTAACTGTATATCCAGTTATTACCAGGACAAACAACTTTAGATTTAGTCATTACCAGGACAAACAACTTTAGATCTAGTTATTACCAGGACAAACAACTTTAGATCTAGTTATTACGTACTCAAATATTTGGGTCTAAATGTATTAGTTTACTTTCAGTAAAGCAAACGAACTCATCTTTTGAATCAATTCACAAATTGCACTGGATCAAATGAGTCGAACTGCCCATCACTGTTGTCAGTTGTTAGCTATGACGTATGACTACTAAACAACTAGCTCTTGACGAGCGAAGCTTTCCTTCGATAGGATCCAGCATCCTATGTGATGCTTATCGTGATCACGTGATATGTAGAGGTTTTTACCCCAATCTACACAGAAGAAGAAGTTATAGATCTCAGCTCTTGACTTTCGAAGGACTAGCAGCGAACGTGTCCGTGGGCTACGTTTTGTTCTCATAATTAATTGTACTTAGTAAAGCTCAAAGGTAGGGTAATGTTTTGTGTGTGTGTCGTCGGTGTTTCAGATCAAAGCATGTGAAAAATATTAAACGAAAAAAAAATGTATAAAGCTTGCTATGTAGGTAGAAAGGGCTCGCTTAGTTTGATGTTTAGATATTAACCGAGCGTATCATTTTTGAATTTTATAAAGTTGTTTTTTAAAGTTTTTCTTTGTTTTGAAGGTCGTTTAGGACCACGTAAATGTTTTATTTTAATGATATAACAGAAACTAAACGAGTGATATTACACCCAAATAATTATACTTTTGTTATAGAGATTGTTTTAAGTTGTTAGAATGATTGCGTGCTTGGTATTTACCGAGCTATCCTAGGCTGGTCGATCGTAATGGAATATTATTAGGATTGTGGCCGAGGGTACGCAGATAATGAAACAATACATTATATTCTTTACAAGTAGGAAAGTAAGAAAAGCATATTTATTTAGCTATCCTGATGACCAGGTTGATTTGTAGTATCTCTCTAAGAACATTGTTTTGATAGGAAGTTAATATAAATTAATAGCTAAACAGCAGAGCGCTGATAGTTAAAATAAAGATTAAACAAAACACGTGTAATACTAGCGTTACTCGAGATAAAAAAAAAAAAAGGTTGCCAGGAAGCGACAATGATGGACGAAATAAAGATAACTTGTCTTAACTGACGGTAGCCCGTGAAAATCAGTGTACCAGAGAAGACCCTTGGTAATATTAACCAATTACAGACGTTATTTTATCTCGAAACAAATTGTTAGTCTAAAAATATATATATTTGTCAAGGACAATTTTACATGGTGTCTCAGTTTTTTCTTCTTTTTTGCCTATCGGCGACGATGAGGTATTAGACCAGTAGTATATAAAAAAAGATTCGTATACCAGAAAAATGTAATATTTGTCTACCAAGGGAATAAAATCATTAAAAAACTTAAACATATTTGAATAAATTTAGAAAGAAAAAACTTTACCAATATCTTTATTTCAGCCAACGCATTGTCAGTGCGACTTCATCAAGGACAGTAAGCAGTTCTATTTTTTTGTACTGGCTCTGATGAAGCCGCAATGGCTGCAATCAAGAAGAAGAAAAAATTATCTGGAGAGTTAAGCCTAATGTCGTTTTTTTTTTCTAACTTTATTAAACAAATGTTTATATTTGACCTCCAGCTATTATATCTTATAATGCCCATTTATTAGAGTGTGAAAAAGAGGTTGTGTGGTTCGTGCCCGGTTACAACCGGAGAGAAAAAAAAATAACAAAAAAAAACGCGTTCTGCACTTTTAGGCCGTCCGATGGTATTGAGTAACGGTGATGTTCAAATTCAACTATTCAGTTTCACAAGAATTAGCGGTGGGTGGTGTTGACTAGCTGCCTTCCCTGTAATTTGTAAATTAGGGACGGCTAGCATAGATATCCTTCGTGTAGCTTTGCGCGAAATCTAACAGAAAAATGTACATAACTGTTTACATAAACAATCAAAATGTGAAAAACTAAGTAAATACCCTTCAATGAAATCCATTCTCATACTACCGTTAACAGCCTAATATTTTGTCGTTATCGGCTGCAGTTTAATTAGTATTGATCTCAACATCAAATCTGGTTTAACTGATTAATTAATGAGTGTTTTAGCTATATTTTCTTTTGCTTTGTAATTAAAATTGATAAGTCGATTTCCTGATTTATTATCTTGACTATTATTATCTCTTTGTGTAGATTATGGGGCATTATCCTCCGGCTAGCTTTACATTATTAGTTAACTTACACCCAGCAATAAATCGAAAAGGTCCAGTTATTTAAATGTGTCTATAAATCAACCATGCAAGGACACAGGTTAAGATTTTTAGAATACAACACCCCTCGAAATTTTATTCCTGAAAAGAGAAGGGGAGAGAGAGAGAGATTTTTTTCTTCTCTAAAGCATGCCTTACTTAATACGTATTTATTACATACGTTTTATTTTCCACATACATATTTTTCAAGTATTATATTTTTCTATATTGTATTTTGGAATACTTTTTTTAATGTGGCTTTCTCATCAAAATTATCAAGAAAACAGAATTCGTCTTTTCAGAATCTCAAAATATGTTAAATATAAACCAAATGGAGTGTTGGGAGTGGCAAGTTTTTTTTGTTTTTTCAGTTCTACCCCACCCCCACCTACTCAGAATACATACACTTTAAAGTGAAATAAGACTACTCCCACCTACTCTGAATACATACACCCCCACCTACTCAGAATACATACAACATAAAGTGAAATAAGACAGGTTATTGCTGTAGCGCAGTATAGGTAAGTAAGCTAATGTAGACGTCGTCATCTTGATAATATATTATCATCCGGGAATGCGAGAGAAAACTAGTATTTAACCATTATGTTAGCGGGTGGATTGTTTAAACACGTGAAAACTTATCTACGATTACAGAGGCAGAGTGCGTTATATTTAAAGATTTTGAATAGGCAAGTCACGTGACAATCATAACGGACATAAAGTTGCGGTGGAACGTAATGTATCAGAACTACATACTGGTATTATTTGACGTTGCGTAGGTAGTGATATACCATCGAAAATTGATAGTTTTGGGGAAATTCATTTAACAGTTCTTTCATTTCCAACGCAAAATATCCATATAACTCGGATCATAAAAATGTATTTATATTGAGGATTTAGAATTTGCAAGGCGGGGATAATAACCCTTGTAATTCATGATATTGGAAAATAAAATAATGTGTATCATCTTGGGACGTCAGGACAATCCAGAAAGAGATTTGTAAAAAGTCGTACCGCAGCTATGGTAAGCAAAGTACGGTGTCTTATAATTGTGACATTAGCCGTCCACGTGCCCCACCCAGGCAACAGAATCGAGAAGTACTTCGATCTGGAAAAGTGACAGAAGTCACTTATACACAAGTGGCTTCCATGAAATATCCGTTCAATCGTCGCTTACCTCAAGCAGCTGAAAAATGAAACGGATATTCGTACTATTTCATACGAAGGCGTACTCAATTTTTCAGTAACACAATAAATATTTTTCGAAAGAATGTGAATAATGCAGGAATGACTGGACGCCAAATGTGGGGACAGGTAGGGCGAATATCCCTTCTCCAAAAATATTACAAAAACCTGACAATAAAGTACTAGTTTTACACTGTTACTGCGTGTGCTATAAAGCTTCAATTACGATCCAATGGCAAGACATATATTATTGTTTACGCAGTAATTTTTAAATAAAGGGAATAAAGCCGTTTAAACTTATAATAATAAATCCAAATTTTAATCATTTAGTTAAGATTTTCTTTGATATTATGAATTTAATAAGTGATTTTATCCATTAAACTGAAACATTCTCACCTAACCCCAAACCTTTACTAACTTCAACTAAAAATAATGTATACTATTGACTGTAATATATCTATAACAACTGTAATTTATAGCAATTCGTTTTCGTATAATATATTAATATCTTAAACGGAATCACGACTATCCAGTTGGACCTTTATTTTTCTTGTCAATCGACTACACAGTCGCGACACTGAATTTCCTAAGCTCTTCTCAGATCTACATCATCATCGTTTGTTACGACCTTGACCTCTACATCATCATCGTTTGTTTCGACCTTGACCGTAATATTCGCTGAAATTTAGTTAACGAATCCTAAATATGAAGGTTTGATGACTCAGGCACTTGACTCGAAATCTGCGGGCTCGAAACCTTTCGCCGAACATGCTCACTTTATCAGCTCCACTATTCGTTGGCAAAGAGTAGCCATAAGGTTGGCGAAGGGTAGTGTTTTCTAGTTGCCTTCCCCGTAGTTTTTCACTTCAAAATTAGTGACAGCTAGCGCAGATAACCTTTGAGTAACTTTGCGCGAAATTCAACAACCAAACCCTGTCTCAGCCTTTCTTTTAAACGTACTCTTAGTTTTTGAAAGAAAACAATTTATAATAAATAAATAAATACAAACAATGTCTCCCCATTCTTCTTTATTCATCAAAACTTAACTAAGTGATGCTCGTGGTTTAGTGGTTAACGTGTTTAGATAGTGAATTCGAGGATTCATGGTTAGCGACCAATTTCCGCAGAAACGTGGGCCACACTTTGTGGTTTAGGTGTGTTATAAGAGTGGCTGTTAAATCCCACTATACGGTCGGAGAAAAGTAGTTCAATATTTAGCGGACTGTCTGTTTCCCGATCTAGGGACAGCTATGCTCAGATAGTTTGAGTAGGTCTGCGCGAAATTCAGAAGCAAACAAAACTAAATGTCGGTCTTATTATACTCATTCAACTCTTTATATATAAGTATTTTATGTGACATTCACCTTTTCATCTACACTTATTAACGCCCAACTGATTTCTTCTGACCCTCAATTAAACACTTGATATAGTCTCTTCAAGTAATATTTTAGCACTTGCTTTCTCTCTCTCTCTCTCACATAAGTGTTCAAATAGTCGTATTCTAGCAACCTTGCCTATTTTAGTCTATTATCGGTTCAAAATGAGGGACGGCTAGAGAAGATGCCCACCGTTTAAATTTTCGCGAATATTCCGAACAAACAAATATGCAAATTGTAACGAGTTGAGGCATAAATCGGTATAATCTATTTAATCATTTTAGAAGCTTTAGCTTGTTTGCTTTTATCGCAAAGTTTCAAAACAGGATATCTGTGTTCTTTCTATCACAGAGCATCGAACCCCGGATTTTAGCGTTGTAAGTCCGTAAACTTACCGCTAACCCACTAGAGGATTTTCGTGGCGTTGCTATAAAAATATTGAATTATTTCAATTTTTTTTACAACGTCTAAACAAAGCATTTATTTATAAGATTGGAAGTAACCAATGAATACATTAAGTGCATCAATGAAGAAACGAGAAAAAACAAAAACATTATTTTATCTAAAACAAATTATGGCAAGATAGAAATCATTTTGTTCAGTTTTATTCCGTCCCCCCCCCCGCGTATGTCAATACTCTACCATTTTACTGTCTATTATATCACTGTAAAAACATATATATATATTATCGTTTACAATATAATTTATAGATGTCTACTCCAGCGACCTCTGACGACATGTCCACATCCAGAACCCTGCAAGCAGGTGAAATTATTAAACCGTATGTGACAAACGAACAGGCAATCGAGTTGGTGCATCGTCTTTACGGGCTGACAGTCACGTCAATCCAGGAGATGGTTAGCTATGATGATCGAAATTTTCACGTACAGGTATGTCATCTCGTTTCGCTTATTAAAATTTTACGTACGGGTATGTTATCGCGTTTCGCTTATTAAATTTTTCACGTACGGGTATGTTATCTCGTTTCGCTTATTAAACTTTTCACGTACGGGTATGTTATCTTGTTTCGCTTATTAAAATTTTCACGTACGGGTATGTTATCTCGTTTCGCTTATTAAAATTTTCACGTACGGGTATGTTATCTCGTTTCGCTTATTAACATTTTCACGTACGGGTATGTTATCTGGTTTCGCTTATTAAACTTTTCACGTACGGGTATGTTATCTTGTTTCGCTTATTAAAATGTTCACGTACGGGTATGTTATCTTCTTTCGTTTATTACTTGTACCATTATTTGTCTGCTTTAAGACAGTATTCTTAGTATGATAAATATTTTCTGCGTAGTTTATTTTTTTAATTTAATTCAACAGTTTATCGTTTAGCACAAATAAAATCGTCTGCAAGTGATCACCAGCTCCTAAAGATGGTAGAGCATGTTCCACTGAAACACGGAGAAGTTTTTATTTTACTGCTTGTAACTTTATACAATAAATTAGTGTGCATTTTAAAACGTTAGGGTCGTCAAGTTATTATTTAATTAAAGGTAGTTTCTTTTCTGTATTATTTTGTAGAAAATCCGAGCACAGACGCTCGTGAGTTTTACATGGTTAACTTCAAAAGGGTAATTATTTATCTTTGTACAGGTGGAAAATTCTCATACTAATCCTAACATCAGCTCCCTCTGGCCACATGGATACACCTTAAAAGTTTTGAATCGAATAGAATCGAAAATGAATAAATTTGTTGGTTAGTATGCTTTCTTATATTTTTTGTTTCGTTTCTGATAATAACTTTATTTCGCTAACAATAATAAAGTCACTTTTCTTTGTCCTGGTACCGGAATAGTTATTTTAAACGAACGTGACTGTCAGTAAAATGCAGAAAATCGCCCCCTCAAAAAACAAAATCACCAAATTCAAACCCATTCATACCGACTAGTTAAACATTATGGTATATTCAGGTCAAACTGATCACCTAGAGAGTGGTCTCCCGGTGGGACAGCGGTAAGTCTACGGACTTACAACGCTAAAATCCAGGTTTCGATTCCCTGCGGTGGGCACAGTATATAACCCATCGTGGCTTTGCATTAAAAACACACACATCTCAAGTGTGATTGGATAGGTCCACCCACTCACAGCTAATATGTAATTTTTTTCAAAGTGTTCGTATATTTTTCAGTTCAGTTTGTACGCAGAAGATCCGTTCAAGTAAACGACTCAACTCTGGTGCAGACGAGAAATGAATTCATTAACCAGCAATCAGAAATATTGTCTTACAGGAAGGATATCTTGTGGCGTTTTGAGTTACAGCTTGTCTTATTTATCAGTGATTCAGATAATGGTCAGGCGCTGCCTCGCCCAGTGCAGTGGATGAAGGTTACATGTGCAACATGGAGCCGTGTGCAAACCTAACTTTGTGTAACAGTATTGTGTTGCATATTTAAAGCCAGGTTGGTCCTTGTAAGAGTGATTTTTGCAAACTTCAGTAACTTTAACTTACTTTTCTGGAGTTTATCTTTAATCAGGCTTTATTGCTGGATTTTTACTTGTATCCAGTTCTAGGAAATTCATTACCTGAAGAATATTTCACTGTGAAAACAAAATTATATGTGTAAACAATAGCTCACTGCTTCTTCAAATAATGCCTTACAGGTTAGTGTTTCAAGTTAACTTCATAATTCTATCTCTCATTACATACTCACTCAAGGTTTTTCTGTCGTGCTCTAAGTGGTTGATTGATAAAATCATAAATAAATGACTGTGTAGAGTACCATACATGTATGCTGCCCCATGCATACACACCATCACAGACGCATACTTGTACTGGTTACGCGTGTATGTGTGTCATTGTAACCTAAACTGGCAAATCACTTAACTACTGACACTTCATTTGGCAAGGTGCTGCTATATGTGAATTGTGCAACTCAACCATCTATAGCCCTCGTGAAATAAAGACTTCATTGCAGAAGTTGACTAAACTATTCAGTATACAACGGAATAAACAGAGTTGTTTAAATATTTGTTTAACAAGAAGTAAAAGCTTCAAATGGTCTATTCTTTTACTGGGGTGTGTGTCTGTGAGCCAGACTAGTTTCGGAGAATTCCACTCCTCATTAGTGACCCTGGACACTACCACTAATGAAATATCGGACTGGTGTATTTAAGTGTTTTACACTCACAAAAAAGAAACCTATCATTCTATAGGTATTTGAAGAACTTGTAACATTTCACTACGAAGAATTATATTGTAGCGAAATGTTACAAGTTCTTCAAATACTTACAGAATGATAGGTTTCTTTTTTTGTGAGTGTAAAACACTCAAATACACCAGTTCGATCTTCAGTAAACAATTTCATACATCAATAATGTTATTTGGACTGTCCCTATCCTGTACATGCCCTTGTCAACATAATCTTGATACAGAAAATGGATGTTTATTGTTCCAATTGGCCACCAACCATTCCAACATGCTGCCCCCTGTGAGTTTTGAAACTCAACAGTCTTTTATAGGCATCATAAAAAATATTTACCCCAAGATTACTGTTTGTCCTGCCACTATCTTTTTACCAATACTCCTTCAAATCAATATCGGTTAAATACAAATTGTCCACAACAAATGGACATTTAGTGCCAGGAATGACCGCAAACTAGGGGCCATTGTATCACCTTGCACAAGTTGTTTCATTTGTGTTAGTTTGCATCACACATGCAACTTCTGTCATGCTGCCTCAAGTATGCACGTGTGTCATTGTAACCTACACTGGCTCCATATGCGGTCATGCTTCATTTAGTAACGTGCTGTCATCCGTGAATAGTATAACTCAACAGTTTTACAGACCTATTCCGTTGAAATCCACTGTTGCCCAATTCACCTTCTGCTGCTAAAGAACATGGAGGAATTATACATAATTAAGTTTTTGTGAGAAACTGAACTTTTATTGAACAGTCCACAACATCTTTCACTACTCGGATAAGGGTGAGCGATTTTCACGAAGTGTGGGATACCGTTTTCCAATGTTAAAACGTTCGACAGCTTAGAAAACAAAGTTCTCGGCCAAACAATCGTCCTAACTGTTGGTAATCAAGTAGGAATCACACAATGTATGTATACTTGGTAACTTGTAAAACAAGGATTGCTACTTCATTTCACTCAGTGACTGTCCTAACTGCTGATCTGGCAGTCCAGTCATAATAATCGGAGTGTTACAGTTGACATATTGGTCAGCCACTTGAAGCTTTCCTGCATCTCTTCAGGTGCTTGTTCACCTGACTCGTAGAAAATAAAAACAACTAAATGTTAAGCAAAAAATATACATAAAAAAGTTCTAAGATCTCTCTTAAGCTAAAACTCAAATCTAAATCTGTTTAACAGGATCAGAACCAAGTCTTAAATAAAAAACCTAATAACAATAATACAAAATTCCTTGCAAAAGAACACGACTAACGGTTAAGTATAAATTTATATTATATTTAATCTAAGTGTAGATCGCTGATCATAAGATATATATATTTTTTAATGTACGAACATTAAATCTTGTCAATCGTTGACGTGGTCTTCCTATTCTTGATTATTCAATACTTCTAGTGTTTTAATTACTTACGTTAGCAGAGTTATTTTTCAGAAAGTTACAAAAAATAGGTGATAAGAAATAAAATATTGATTAATTAGGGAGTGAGTGTGGCCTAGTGGTTAGCGTGTCGGTTTGTGGATCCGTGTGTCCAGGGTTCAACATGTGATGCCACTGAACAAGCTCCACACTCCCAGTCTTGAGTGCAAGTGACAATCAGTCCCAATATTCCATTCAAAGAGCACCCTACAATTAATGTGTCATATTGTGGATCTGAGGTTCTATGTTTCATGCCCAATTATCGTGCGTTATAAGAGTGATAGTCAAATTAGAAAAGCCCAACAGTTTGACGCAGATAGCGTTGGCTAGCTGCCTTCCATCTAGTTTGTCAATTAAAATTATAGGCAGTTGGTATAGATAGTTCAAAGAGCTGGACAGAGCTGCTGTGGTGGTGGGTTTTCTATCTAGCCGTCACACCAAGCATGCTCGCCCTTTCAGCCGTGGGGGCGTTATAATGTTACGTCAATCCCACTATTCGTTGGTAAAAGAGTAGCACAAGAGTTGGCGGTGGGTGGTGATGACTAGCTGCCTTCCCTCTAGTCTTACGCTGCTAAATGAGGGACGGCTAGCGCAGATAGCCCTCGTGTAGCTTTGCGCGAAATTAAAAACAAACAAAAAGAAACAAATTTCTGTCTAGATATCCTCCCGTATAGTTTAAAGTTTGAAAATGATAGCTATACCTGAACCCTAGGAGTCTCTGACCTGGTCGTTTAATCCACTTGCGCACAACCGTTAAGGTTGAAAATCTTAATTCTATGTGCTTAAGAATTTTTTGAGTCGGAAACTGTTTTAAATTACTGCCTTTTAACAAAAAGAAGAGCCAAAATATATTTTGTTTATTGTTTCTGTCCCTCCCTCCCAGTTGCTCGGCAGTAAATATGAAGGCTTATAACACTAGAAACCTGGTTTAGATACCCGTGGTGGACACAGCACAGATAGCCCATTGTGTAACTTTGTGCTCAATAACATTTTTGTTTTCTTTCTACCTAACAGAAGAACAAAATTCACTCCAGCAGTATCTGGCAAACAAAGGCTTGGCAGTTCCTGTTCCCATCCCGAATGTTTATGGCTCTATGTGGTCAACAGAAGAGCTACCTGTTGGTTGTGAACCAAACAAACATGGTAAGTTTGTTTGTTTCGTATGCAGCTATGATCTCAGTTGTTATACATACAGGATTTTAAAAAAAAAGAAACCTTGGATTAAGAATAGATACTTAATATAGAAATATATTTTCAAAAAATACTTGCCTTACTAATCAACATTAGTTGTACCCTATCGGTTTCCCAATTTTAATGAAATATGCAAAAAATAAAAAAAAAATAATCGTAATCTTTGATAGGTTGTTTAGGCAGAG